TACGGCACAAAAGCAGCGTTATATTCTGCACTAAAGATGATAGGACTATGTTCATGATAGATAACAATGTGCCACAAGTACTCCTGTTCTTTCAGCATTTATAGTTGTTTACTTAGCACTTGCAATGCAATTTGCATTTGCAAAAGCACTTTACAATATTATCCCTTATGAATCTCTGCAGCACCCATGTGCAATAGGTTGGGAAGCTAAGGCATAGAAAGATGGGGGCGGGAGAACTAAGGCATATGGAGGTGTTGGTGGCTTGCCCACGATCATGCTGCAAATCAGTGGTTGAATCAGGATTAGAATTTAGCATCTCCTGACCCAAATACCTTTGGCTTCATTCTAAACCACCTCAGCTCTCTGTAAGGGGAATTTGATATTGCATGGATGAGACAGGCTGCCATGGGATCGGGTTGGCTCAAGAGCCAGACATTAGATGCTCCTGGGATATCTTAGCTATCTTCTCTACTGAAGATGGGTACCAGCTGAGTACCAGCGAGTAAAGGGGGAAGGGGGACTGATCTTGTGTAACATTGGAATACGGTGGAGAGTAAGGTGTTGCATGAATTGCAGGAGATTTTTCTTAAACTCAAAGAGGGCTGGGGGCTCAGCATGTCCCCTTCCCTCCCTTGTGGTTTGTAGCCGGAAGCCAGAGAGGAGCATTATAAGAAACACCCCAGCAAGTCAGGTGAAGTATTGGTTCCTCAGCAGCAGTATTGTTCATTAGACTGTAAGCTCTTCGAGGGAGGGGCTGTGGGACTGCACCTGGGTTGCAGATGCAGTACAAAGAGAAACGGCTCCATCTGCCAGCAAAGCCTGCCAGCTGCATGTGCCCCTCCCTTTCCCTGAGACTGGCGCCTCCTGGGGGTTCCTGCTGGGCAGCGGAGCTCCACACCATCCACACTGCCGTGGCTCGGGGCTCAGTGCCACAAGTCACGTTGCTCGAGTGGTTGTCGGCACACCCCGGAGAGGGCTCCGGTGCTAACACAGGAGTTGATTTGGGGTTACATCATGGTGGCGAATGTGAGTGACGCGCCCTGCTTCTCCCTCCAATTCATACAGGTTCTGCTTGGAGGTTTCCAATTCATCCACAAGAATTCCGTTTGGTAGCAAAGGAGTGAACTCCCCAATCCTTCCTTCCGCAATTAACCCACCACTGGCTGCGTGATGGCTGCATCCGAGAGCGAGGGGTAAGTGGATTGGGGGGAGCTGGCCGCGGGTGCGGTCAGTGCAGCATGGGCAACGTACACAAGCCGATGGCAGTAGTGCAACCTGCACTGTCTTGCTGTAACCATTGCCAGCAGGCCTGAGAGGACAGCCCCCGGGTAGGTGGATCACACAGCAACAACTCTTTTCCTGATCTCATGCTGGCAGCAAAGGCAGCCATGCCTGGCTAATGTCTGCCAAGGAACCACTGGAGACTGGCCCTCAGGGCTGTAACAGCCACTGTCATTCATCTAAGCGGCTGTCAACTGTGGCACATGGATGCCTGAGGACTAGTTGCTCTGCTAAAGGGAAGGAGCAGTTTATGGCCTTGTCTCCACTACAAGCATAAATTGATGTTGAGCCTGGCTGTCAGCAACTGGTTACCTCAGCCCGGACTGAGGGCTGCTAAGCCACAAGCATAGGAAATGATAAACCATGTCGAGCCCCATTTCGTCAAACTGTCTGAGTTCATTTGGGTGGAATGGTGCTAATGCCGGTGGGCCAGATCCTCAACTGGTATCAAGCTAGGGTGACCAGATGTCCCGATTTTATAGGGACAGTCCCGATATTTGGGGCTTTTTTTTATATAGGCTCCTATTACCCCCCAACCCAGTCCCGATTTTTCACACTTGCTGTCTGGTCACCCTATATCAAGCCAACGGAGCGATGCTGACCGACAACAGCTGGTGAGGGCTTTCCTAGTCTCTGCTTGCAACTTAACTGTGCTCACAAAGGTTTAAATGTCGCAGTGCACAAGACCAGGCCTAAGAGTCCACAGGATGATGGTGGATGCCAAATTGGACATGAGACTGCCGATGAAACGTACTGTCATGATTACGGGTTTGCTGAAGTGCACTGGGTGTGAAATATGACCACTTCTTTCTGCTGCAGGAAACAGGAATGGGAACATCTCAGTGAAGTATTTTAAGTTAAGGGATGCCTATCCTTTCTGTATCATTTGTATTCCCTTAGTGCCCATGGCCCAGAGCCAAAAAAATAGCTAGGCTTCTAACTCTTATTGAAATCAACAGGAGCTAGGTGCCTAACTACCATTGAGGATCTGAGCCTAGAGGGCCCAAGTGAGATGGGAACTCAGTGATGCTAGGTGCTTTACCAGGGCTCACCCCACTGGCGCCTCCTGCTGGTCATCTTGGGGATTAGCTCTGCAGGTCAGTACGCCTACTCCCAGTGGTGCCTCACTCAGTGTCCCTTCTGTTCCTGGACTCTCATCACTCCAAGGACCGCGGTGTTCTCGTCACAACCCAGCCCTCTGAATGTGTCATGATCTGCGCTCCCCCCTTCCAGGGGTGAGTGCTGCAGTCTAACTGTCCCACCACTTCCCCAGTGGGGACTACAGGCAATTGTCCGGCCACTTCCCCATGACCCCAGCACCCTCTTTGCCCTTGCCTCAGGGCTTCAGCCTGCAAATCCCAGCAGCCAGCCAGGAGCTCTTCTCTGGTCCCTGCACTGCTCAGTCCAGGGTGCAGGCTTCCTTCTGCCTGCCAGATACCCAGTCCTCCCTTCTTAAGCTCTAGGAAGTAACTGACCCTCTTCTGCCCTGCGGCTCTTCTTATATGGGCCTGCTGGGCCTTGATTGGCTGTTCCTCACAGCCTCTCTCCTATTGGCTGCTTCCTGAGCAGCCTCTCCTGGGCCCTATTAACTCCTTGCATGCCAGTGTGGGTAGACACCTAATCACAGTGCTGTAGAAACACATCAATTCATAGATTCCAAGACCAGAAGAGAGAACTGTGATCATCTGGTCTGCCCATGTACCACATAACAAAGGCCATGTGACTTCCCCACAATAATTCCTGTTCGAATATGGAAAGATATGGACTCAATAGACCAGTTAGACAAAAAGTGCGGGGAGGGAAAGGAACCATCATCATCCCCATTTTACAGATGGGGAAACTGAGGCACAGGGAGATCGAGAGATTTGCCCCAAGTCACACAAGGAGTTTGCAACACTGAGGCACCTAATTTTCATATTAATTAGTTATTATTGACTCACAATCCATTTATAGCATTTCTGTGAACGTGTTTCTCCAGAATAACTGCACACAGCTGTCTTGCGTGTGCGTTTTTATCTCTTCTGATAGATGCCTAGCAACTGTTGCTTGTTCGTTTGCGCTCACCAGCAACAGAAACTTGCAGCTGATCAACTCTGTCCTTCCCATGCATTCCCAGGGAGAAGGCAGCATTTCCTTGGGCTGCATTTTCTCCTTCAGCAGCACACACTGTTCAGCCTTAGCTGGAACAACAGAGCTCTTCCCTGGCGGCTCTGGTATTACTCGATTGTTGTTGTTTGCAGGGGTGGATCTTTGATCTGCCATTGACCAATAGGCCTGGCATAACCTCTGTCTCTGTCATTACAGGGGTTCTCAAAAATTACGATTTGCCTTCTGGCTGATTAAGCAGATCAACAGCGAAAACTACGAGGGGCTCCGCTGGGTAGACAGGGACCACACTCAGTTTCGCATCCCCTGGAAACACACTTCCAGGAAGGATATCAACCCTAACGATTACAAGATTTTCAAGGTAGGATCCCAAATGATTCTCTTTTTCCCATCCCCACTAACCCCCATCTCCTGCAGAAGCAAGTCCCAGTCCAGGGTGTAACTTTGGATTTACACCAGGGTAACTAATTAAGAGGAACTGACAAAACGATCAGTGTTGATGCCCTAATGTTGCTCTGTGACATTTGCCTTACAATGGTGTGTCACTGCGTGATGACCTTACATTGTAAGGATGCAGCATTGTCACAGTGTGGCACCAGGCAGTAGTTGGCTAGTGCCCTTTCATTCGATGGAGTATCCATCCACCAGGGTATCAGAGCACAGAAGGGTTCCTTGGCAGAATGCACACCAGGCCTCAGAATAATGACCAGCTTCAATTCCCATGGCTGTGGGAGGATCCCGATGACCCTGGTGGGGTTTGTAACATGTTCCCTTGCAGTACATCATCCGTCACTTGCTAGCCCCATGTGCTGAATATATCCCTAAGTAGGGGGTGGTTCCTGGTAAACAGAAGGCAAAGCTGGAACTCAACCAGTGTGGAAAATTGTTTCTGTCTGTCGTTTCAGTTATTTTCTTTAATAAATACCTCCTGTTTAAGACTGTTTCTATACATCATAATAGGGCTTCTGCCCCATCTGGAATGTCCTGGACTGTCCACATTTTAATGGGATCTTCCCTGCAGACTGCAGCTTACAGGCAATTGAAAGGTTCCCAGATAACATTGTCCTCTCATAATGCTCAGAATTTATGTCAAGATGTGACATGAAATGTCTCAGCTCAAGCTGGTTAGAAATTTTCAGGTGGAACATTTTTCTGTTCCATTGTCAAAATGGAAACATTTTGCTGGAATGTGTCAACTTCAATGAAATTTTGATGGAAACCAGGAAGATTCCTAATCACACCCTGCCTGCCAGGCAGAGTTCCATAGAGCCCCAGCTTCCAGGCTCCCCAACCTGCCTTGCTCCCTGCCTGGTGGGCGGCAGGGATTCTGAGCTCAGGGAGCTGGGGAAAGGTTGCCAAAAGTTGGAATGACGTTTTGGAATGTCACTTTTCTGAAACAAAATTTCAGAATTCTCCTTCCCTGGGAAATTTCAAATTTGCATTTTTTGTTCCATTCCAGAATAATTTTTTCCCCCTAAAATTTCAGAATTTCAGTTTCAGTTGGCACTAGGCACAGCTAAGAGTAGGATTACCCTCCGAAAGACTGATCTGGCAATTATCAGGGGGTAGCCGTGTTAGTCTGTATCTACAAAAACAACAAGGAGTCTGGTGGCACCTTAAAGACTAACAGATTTATTTGGGCATAAGCTTTCATGGGTAAAAACCTCACTTTGGATGCACAGAGTGAAAGTCGGCAAAGCGCTTGATGGGCTCCTTTAAAAAACCGACGGTGCTAACGGAGAGCTTGGAAGGAATTGTACAGAGATCTTCATGCCTTGCTGCCCGTGGGGCTAAGATCAAAATGGCTTTCTGCTTGACTGCACTGACAGACTGCTCCTTCTCTAATGCCTTCCGACCTGTCTTCTCTCCCTCAATCCCTCTCTTTATGGAAAGGCCTGGGCCATAACCAGCGGAAAGTACAACGAAAAGCTGAAAGATCTAGCCAAGTGGAAAACCAACTTCCGCTGTGCCATGAGAAGCACAAACATGTTCCTGATGGTGCAGGATAACTCAAAGACCTCTGAGGACCCTCACAAAGTGTATCAATACATCAGCCCAAGCCCCGATGCTGTGGCAGCTGCTAATGCCCCGACTACTAAAAGTAAGGATGCTGGCAATACAGGTGCAGACAGACATGGTTCTGATTTGTGGAGTGAGCTCTATTCTTTTATTCTCTGCCTGGCACTAGTCCAGCTCCAGTCTGAATAGAATCATAGAATAACAGGGTTGGAAGGACCTCAGGAGGTCATCTAGTCCAACCCCCTGTTCAAAGCAGGACCAATCCCCAGACAGATTTTTACCACAGTTCCCTAAATGGCCCCCTCAAGGAGTGAACTCACAACTCTGGGTTTAGCAGGCCAGTGTGCAAACCACTGAGCTATCCCTCCCCCTGCCCCCAGTGTCATGTGGGAAAAGATAGGATTTTAGGCAACTGCCTTTAAAAAAAGACCATGGGGGGCAATATTTCAAAAATAGTCATCCCCCAGCAGCTCCTAGTGTTCTCAGTCAATGGGAGCTGCTGAATACTCTTGAAAATCAGGGCTTGTGGCCTGAACTATGGGTGACATGGTTGGAGGGAGATCATGGTGTTAGTGCTGCTCCCTGCTGGTAAGGCAGAAGTGCTAACAGTACCGGATGTTTTCCAAGGGAAATCTCACTACCCTGCTCCTGCAGATTTCTGCTTTGAGCAAACTCTGACCTAGGCCTTGTCTACACTACGAGAGTAGTTCGATTTTACTTGCATCGAATTTTTGTAA